CAGCTTCCTTGACACGATGCATAATTCGGTGAACATCTAGGGCATGAAGCCAAATGAATTTGCGTATTCCTGGATTCTCTGTTAAAACAATAGGCTGACCATGTTCATCTGGAAATATAGTAGTAGGGCCTTTGATGGGAAGGTCATCTATGAATATGTTGGCTTTATCCGGGATTTCATCTTTGAGTACAAATGTCATACATTTCTGAAATTCTGCAGGAGAGTTGGTAAATCCAGTTGGAAGCGATGTAATGCGAAGTAGTCCTAGGGGAGTTAGGAATGCAGTAAGATCTCGACTTAATGGGTGCAGCTTTCTAGCATCAAATCCCCAAAATAAATCAAATACTGTGTAACATTGGGCTCCTGCAAAAGGTTCTACAAAGTCATCAAGAATGGGTGGTAGTCCAGCGTCTTGAATTGTGACCTTGTTCAAAGGCTGCAAATCATGGACTATCCTAAGCTTTCCGTTCTTCTTAACTACACAAAACCATCACGATCTATATGCTGATTGACTAGCTTCATAGACTCCTGCATCGATTTTCAGCTTCAATACATCTATAACCTTGCTTCGTATTCCAGGTGGAATTGGGATATTCTTATATTCCCATGGGATATGTGGAACAGTAGGAATAATATAGGGAGAGAAGTAGGATTCTTTCAAAGTACCCCTGTCTGTATCTTCAAAGGCTAATGCATCCTGGTGCAGCCACATAATATATCGAAACAACTTCTCTTCTTCTGGTCGTAAGAATCCTTTGGAGTTGATATTCAAAGCGTCAAGTCGTTCTGCAGTAATTTTCCTGGTGGGAATTACCTCTGGGGGGTTAGGGGATAAGGGTACAAGAGTGTCTAAAGGGTCATTTGGGAATTGTCTCACCACTTTTGCTTCCTGGGGAAATGCTCCTGGAACTGGGCGTACTTTCTTGTCAACTCGCTTATACATTGTGAACGACTTGGCATTATCTGCACTGGCTAATGGGTAATTGAAAGAGCTCTCAGGGGTCCAAAACATCCCTTCATTCTCATGTCCATCAAGGGTCATTGCCCATATTGAATCTCCAGGCTCGAAATGATTCTCTACACTATCGGTCCACATGGTTACCGTCTCTTCATCCTTACTTGCAAACTCATCTATGGTTGCAGAGTCGTATAGTTCTGCACGTCCTTCTCCAAAATCTTCATATTCGTCAAGAGTATTGCTGGCTCGCGCATAGAGCCCGTGGCTTAGTTGCATGGTTTCCAAATTTTGCATTTGGAGTGACATCGGTTCCCTGAACCGGTTCTGGTATATATACGTGTGACTTGTTGCTAGGGTTATGATTGCGTGAGACTAGGTTGTCAGGCAAGGTTAAGTGTTGCAATATGTTCTAGGCTCGCGGGCCGGTGGTCTCTGTTTTGCTTTTGGTAAATTCTTGGCAATGTGTTTTCTTCGTGTATTTTGTATGTATTTGTGGAAGATTTGCAAAGCTTGAGCCAGTAAATAGTAGTTTCTTAGACTAAAGTGATTTGATTTGGTTGATATTATGGTTAATGTTGATTTAGTTGGGATTGTATATTGATAATGGGACTTATTGAATTACTTGAATGTTTTAGGGACTTAGTGAATTTTCCGTCCTAATAGTTCTAGGCCTTCGATCGAAGATTCTTTCAATGAACCAATTTTAGATTCATTATATACATATGTGTGTTAATATCAGGTACCTAGGGGTCTTCGAACGAGAACTTCCTTCATATCAAACAATGATTTCCCACGTCCAAAGTAAATGAATACCAAAAAGAACTGGTCACGTGACATATAAGTACAAACTCGATCGTTATATTTGTATTTTCTAGTTATGATGCCAAAAATAGACTCACTCAAACGGATGCAGACTTTCAGAACGGATCAAAGTACAAAACAGCACAAGCAAAACACTACTGTAGGGATACGAGTCTACTATACATAAGGGCAATGTATGTATGAAAAAAAAGCTATTTCTAAGTACAGAAGATGAGAACTAGAGTGTGAATAGAAAGAAACATGAGCCGGGTATAAGGATAAACGAAAAAAAATGACTGACCCGCCCTATTCCAAGAAGTATGGGCCTTCGCGTTGCGCATTGAAGCAGCGCTCGTGTTGGGACTCTGCAACGTGCAGGAGGTAGTTGAGGCTGGCGTTGGCCGTAACGCCAGTACCACGGAGGTCGTCGAGGGAATAATTCTGTAAGAGTTGGTGAACGGTGTCTTTGTCAGGGAGGGAGAGTGTGAGGAGGTCGTCGATAGCGTCGGCGAGCTGGAAACTCCCATAGAACCAGAAGAGGCCCGACGCTGTGCGAAGCGCGGCGACTTCTTCTAAAGTGTAAAGTGGGTTAGATGAGGGACAGAATTGGAGGAAGAACGTAGCGCGGTTGGTGATGGCGGGAATACAGTGCACTCCGTCGACAACGATAAGGAAGATGTCGGTTAGCATGGATTCCTGTGATTGGATGGGGGTAAGCGTTGCGTGGACAAGGGAAAGGATAGTGCGCGCATTGGCGCGCATGCACTTAAGTTCATAAAGGCGGGAATGGAGGCGGGTGGATCCGCGCGGAACGAACTTGGGGTATTCGGAGGTGTCGTAGTGAAAAATCGAGCTAGGACGAGCGGCATGGAAGCTTGCCAGCTCAGTTCCTAGCTTGCGGGATCCCTGGGCCATCATTTCGCGGGACAGGTAGTAAGTCATGTTGATGACCCGCCGGGCAAGTTCTTTGTCGAACTCGCCTTGGAACGGCAAAGGGTCGTACTGGAGTTTGTCAGCTGTGAGGCCGAAGGCGACGGGCGTGTTTCGAGGGGTAAAGTCCATGGATTCGTCCTGCTCTTCGAGAGTGTCGAGGGAACGGTTGAATTTAAGGGAGGGGACGAGTTGGGGCATGACGCGCCGGGAAAGTGGGTTGGTGAGGTCGCGCGCAAGCTGCGCAAGTCGCTGCATGGCAGTAGCATGCGCGGCAATAGTGTTGTCCTCGTGGTCGATGGCGTCGGCGAAGGAGGAGCAGTCTGACGAACTGCTCTCGTCGTCCGAGACGAGAGCATCGTCGTCTGACATGTCCGCGTCCATATCTTCGTCTTCATCGTCAGTAAGCTCATCAGTAGTTGTATCTGTACCGTTAGTTTGAGAGTTGGGCAGCCGGACCCATTCATCCGCGAGTCCGGCGATAGCATCACTGATGGACTCGATCTTGGGGATGAGGTCAGCCGTGGAGTTGGAAGGGGTTAGGGAGAAGATGGAAGATGGTGAGGCAGGCGAAGCCTGCGGAAATAACTTGCGCGGGTCGATAGTTTCTTCTTGCTTGAGGAGGTCCTTGTTGCGTTGGGCCTGCGCTTGGGTTAAATGAATACCCTGCGTTTCGCTGGGCACGACGAAACGCGGGTATAGATGGCGCGCGGCCTCGGTTGGGATGTTGCGCTGCTTGAAAAAGTTGTAGGTAGTGGTATCGGGTATTGATATGGGACTTACCGGTATTTCGGAATCGGCGGGAATTTCCGGTAGTGTGATAATATCCTCGTCCGTCATATGGACGAGGTCACTAAAGTCGATGGTGGGAAGAGGGAGGCAGAGGTTATGGAAACGACGGAAGTCACCGTCGTAATTCTTAAGAAAGGCGCCGTTTGAATTGCGTTTAGCGAACGCAAGTGGGGTAGGTGATCGAATTGATCGGGCATCAACGGGAAGCTCAACCGCTGGTATGGTAATATTTCCATAATGGGAAATGAGGTCCGGCTCAGCGAATTTAGCCGAAACTACTATACTAGGAATAAATTCTCCCACGTGCCTAGCTTCTTCCTGCAGTTCCTTGTACTGCGAACTATTTAGAACTAGAAAATCGGCCTCGTGGTTTCCTTTAATAGAATGTGCGTTTGAGATATTGGCGGTGTGCCTAAACGCGTGATGTCCGGGATGCATGAATCTGACGTCATGCGTAGGTTCCAGCGTACTGCAACATTTCCGGATTCAGTTGAAAAAGTGTGACAGCTCGGTTAGGGGGCATTGTGATTGATGGGTTTGGACTATTCATTTTTCTCAAAGTCTCGTCTCTTTTTATACCTTCCCTTGTATCTACAGATTGTATTGTACTATTCATTAAGTCCATGCAGTTATCCACCATTTTTGCGATTTGTTGAACTATGTGTGACTGAATTTCCATGAGCACACGTCTGCAGTCCTCATGACTTTCCATATTTGGTACCGCTAAATTAACCGATTCCGAAGACGTAGTACTATTTTTAGATACTTCTTGATAGAACGGTTTGATACCGGTTATTGCCGAACATGTAATATTCCAGCTCTTTGCCCCGCTTTCTCGGTTCTTTCCAAATTTGGAAGGTACCACTAGAACTTCGGATACGTCGTCATTGGTGGGGCTATTCCCAAATTCTAGCCAAGTACCTGTAGCACGTTCATGTATTGATACTGTATTATGTATTTGCCAGGGTCTGCCTAATAAAATGTCAAATGGCACCGCTTCTCCTACGTAAATTTCGGCTATTGTGAGAACCGATCCTATACTAATAGGAACTTGTGATACGAGCCCCTTAAGCAGCCCCTTTCCACCATTTGCGTCATGTAATACAAGTGTCTTACTCCGGTTGATCGGAAGTTTTATAAACTTCTCATACATGTGTTCCGACACTATATTTAGCTGACTTCCGGTATCTATTACCGCTTTCAGACTGTTTCCGTGAATTCTGATCGGAAGTTCTATCAGCGCTTCTTTCGTCCGGGCTTCGGGACTTTCCGTGATCCAGAAACCTTCGGCTTCTGACTTATTCTTTTTCATCAAGTCATACACCAAATGTACGTCTTTTCTATTCATTGCTTTCGGCTTGATTGACTCAGCCAACAGTCCGGCTAACTCTTTAGACACCCCTAGGATTTCACCGGCGGTTAGTTCTACAGGTACGTTTAATATTCTATTCAGAACCAATTTTGCGCTGGTTCCATCAGCAAGTTCTGATCGCCTTGTTCCCGTTTTAGGTTCGATCACATGATCGGCGGGCATATGAGCCTTGGTCCTTTCTTTCGGTACGTCCTTGATATCATCCTTTCCCAACTTTCTTACTAACTCTTTTGTTTTTCTTTTTAGTAGCGCATCATCTTCCATGACAACGTCGTCGTCCTGCGCATCATACCGCGCTTCTTCGTCAATGTTGGGCACATGCGCGAATTTTTCGCGCGTCCATATTCTTTTAGGTTCGTCTTTCCTTTCTTCTCTTTCTACTAACTCTGGACGTACTACAGGCTTCAAAGGTATGTTCTCTTTGTCCTCCCTGGAATGTTCCGGGGACTTCCTTACTGATTCATTGGGTTTTCTAGGTTCTGCTATCTTGAATTCACGGCCTTCGGGCACCGTTGGCTTGGGCGGAAGCATAGGATTGGGTTGTCTCGGTGTCGGAAGTTCATTGGAAGTTTTCGGAAGCTGTGATCTTGATGCTGGTGCGTATTGTCTGTCTCCCCGCAGCTCATATCTCTGACGCTGTTCTTTTTTCATTGCTTCCCGCGCATCTCTTCCCATCATCGGGTAGACACCATCAAACACTTCGGACTTTTTGCGTGCGCCCTCTTTCTGGGTTCTGTATACCGGGTAAGCGCAAACTTCCTCTTCATCGGACTCATCAGTACTCATGTGCTCCGCCATCCAGCAACTTTCCGACTCGTCAGATTCACTTGTGGAGTCTTCCGATTCAGGTTCCATCCATCTTACAAAGTGAGTCTTTGCCGTCCGATGCCAATTTTCCACCGCATTGATTATTGTTTGGCCCGGCCATTTCCTTAGGGGTATTTCTCCTGGCAACATAAACCTTCCGCTTCTTCCTCTTACTAACTTGCCCTTGGTAAGCATTTCCTCTATTTTTGGACACATTGCTAACCCATGGTCCTCTTCTCCGCACCCATAACAGAATGGTTTGTCAGGGTAGAGAGTATTAGAGTAGTTAGGGGTAGTACTAGTTCTATTAGGTGCACTGTATTGGTTGTTAGTATTTCTGTTTATGAAATTTGTTCCATTGTCTCTTGGTGTGAATCTGGCGCTGGGGAATCTATTGTCTCTAAACACTGCGGGCATTTTCTCATTTTCCTCCACCAAACATCCAAAAAACATTGAATTAGAAGATAGAAATTTCTTTTTATTGTGTGTATCAAAACATTGAAAAAAAATAATGAATGTATTGAAGATTTTCTGTATGCAAGACATAATCTAAAAATGAGTCATTTTCCCTCAAGAAACAGTCTATATTTTTCATTCATCATTCCTCAAATAACAATTTACAATCATGTCAATTTTTTGGCCTCTGTTTTTCCAATGTTCTGTGTATCAAAAATCTCAATTACTTCATCCTGTTCACCATATGTTTGATCCAAGAACATTGAAAAATCATATAACAAATAATAATAAATATTTTGACAATGTTTTGTTAAGGAAAAGCAAAGAAACTTTCAAACTTTCATTTGTATATTTGATCAGAGGAAATTTATGAAACATGCCCCATGTTTTGTAAGAATAAATACATAATGTTTGCAGTATATTCCTCCTGCACAACACTTAAAAAACATTTATTATGTTCAGAGAAAAAAAATGAAACATGATTGCAGGATACTCTGCCTCAGAACATGCACAAATTATACATTGTTTTCTGCACACAATAGGTGGAAAATACAGCATTATCCTTGAAGGAACATGATGAATTTTTGCATCATGTCCCACACACAGAAAATCATTGAAACATAAATTATTATTTTTTCAATGTTTTGACAGACAAAATGAAGGTACACTGGTCCAAGTAGTGCTGCTAAGAACCAAGAACCATTCGGCAGGGAAATGAGAACAAAATGGTGTGACAATATAGAAGGGTTTTTTGAGAAGATTTTTAGTAATGGTGAAGCGATGAGTATAGAGGCAAGGTTGAGAGTGGGGGCGCTGTAGATGAGGAATCTTGACTATACGTGAAAACACTTAAAACAAAAGGGGTGCTCAACAGCAAGACCGGGATACGAGACAACGACTCGACCCAAAGGACAACCACTGAGAGAAGTTCCTCGAAATAAAGTGGAGGGAAACTCTGTGAGCTAGGCGGGCGCTAATAGGCGCGAGAAGATAAGGCGCGCGAAGGCGCGCGAGATGCGCGCGTGAGCGGGAGGTCCGAGAATATGCGCGCGCGAAGCGAAGGCGCGCCTAAAGCGTTAGAGGCAAGATCTTACTGAGGAGTGAGTGCAAAGGTGGAGGATTGACAGGAGGATATGATCAGATAACAAGTGGGGAGGTGATCTATTCACTTTCCAGTACACAAAGATAAGGGAAAAGTAAGTACCAGAACCAAAGGAAACCCTTCTGTATTTAAGAATGGAGAAGGCGCGCTTCCGAGCGCGCTCCCGAACCGAGTAACCATATCAACTCTAATTATAACTAAGTTTAAATAAACTTTCCATAAGTAGCGCGGATGTCGGACTGAAGATTTTATTAGTTCAATGGATAAGATAGAAATAACGCACCAGCGAATCAGTAAGGACATGGGACGGATGGACGGACGATAGCGCGAAGACCTATGAGGAGGCGCGCGAAGCGCGCATAGCGCGTGCGTAGGTAAGGCGCGCCTAAGTGCGCGCGAGTTCGCGCGAGACTGGTCCTTAGGAGTAGAGCTGTAACATATAGGAATGTATGGTTAAAGGCCAGATATTTCGTCATTGAGACGCGCGAGTCTCTACATCTCCTGGGGACTTACATTCTGAGTGTCCCCACTCAGTGCTATAGCGCGGGATCCTGGACTTAGAGAGGTGGTGATAGACAGGGATCAGGTGATCGCGAGAGTAGGGTTGTCCATTGATGATCGCGAGCATCGATGATGTAATCGGGGGAGATGTTGATAAGAAGATGGACGCGTTCTCGCGATCTCTTAATTTCTTTCTTATCAATCTCTCACCATGCCTACTTTCAATGTTGCTATGCTGAACGCCACTCCTTCCCCTGAGCCTGTTCCAGTGGCGCAAGGGCTTCCTGAGGACGCGCCTATGGGCGACGCTAGCGCGGAATCCGATACCGATCGCCTCTTCACCGCTTGGGCCTCCATCTTAGTCTCCCTGGAGGGATGCGTGATGTCCGCGCCTGAACTCAAGGCGGAACTCCTCGAGGATCAAGAGATGTGGTTGCGCGAGTGGTATTCTGTGCTGGTGAGTGCGCTTACATGTATTGGACTTGGTTATGGACTGACACTCCTAGGCTACTTTGAACTGGTTGTTCTACGCGCGCGGGTGTGTTAGCGGTGGCGCTGGAGATGGATGACAAGAGCGCGGAATTGTTAAAGCAGGGGCGGAAGAGTTGTAAGGAGATTGAGGCGGTGGTGAAGGACTGGAAGGCGAAGGCGATTGCGTCGGTTCCTCAGGCGCCTCCCATGCAGGCTGCGCGCGCCACTGGCGCCTCCGAACTCGAGGCGCGCGCCACTGACGCGTCTGGTACTGATGCCAGCAAGAAGGTACGCCTTCTGTTTCCTGTTGGTGCGCCTCTCTATTAACATGTTTGGTTGCGCTAGGCGCGCGTCGGGCGCATGTCTATGAACAAAGCGTGGCGCTGTGGCGCCTGCATTGCCAAGGACATTGACTGTGGAGGCGCGCCTGGTCGCCGGTGCCCTCCTTGTGATGTGTCCAAGCGCGCTTGCACTTTCTGTAAGTCGCGCCTCTTGTCTTTTATTGGCGCGCGCCGCTGACTGCTGTGGATTAGCTAAGCGCAACCTTACTGATGCGCCTAAGGCGCGCCCGCGCAAACCGATGCCTAAGCACCCTATTGCTGAGTCTGCAAAGGAGACCGCTTCCTCCATCGCTGTTGAGGATGAAGAAGAATCTGAGGAGTCTGAGATGGATGTAGAGATTGTTGGAGAGCGCTCTGTGGAGGAGAAAGTCGTGCGCGCCGTTGGTCCTTTGGCGTCTGGTTCTGCGCCTAAGGGAAAGGACAAGTTCAAGGATCCAGCGGTGGAGTTGAAGGAAGCGCGCGCCGAAGCCGCGCGTTTGAAGGAGGAAAATGCGCACTTGCGCACTTCCACTCTCCAGATGCGCCAGTATGCGCGCGCCCAACAGGCGGACCTCCTCAATTATTCCAACAAGTTTTTCGCCATGTCCAACGCTTGGGCTGAATTGGAGAGGCAGATCAATGACTCTCTTAAGTAGATGTACCTCTCTTTTGTTTTCCTTGTCTCTTAAGCGCCAATGCGCCTGTACAATGTATCCTGTGTTGCCTTGTCCATGTCCATGTCCTTATCTGATTCACTGGGCTTAAGAAATTAGAATGATAAGTATGTAAGTAAATGACAAGCGCGCAACGAGATCAAGGTAGTGCAATGGACTTTACTGAATTTTCTGCGGGGTGCGCGCCCGTCTTGTCTTCTTCGCGCGCCTTCCATCATCTATTCCTGCTGTGTTGCGCCGCGCGCGTCGAAGCGATAACGCGCGCGCGCTTAAATGAAAGTTAGAAAAAAAGGTGCGCGGCGCCGCGCGCGCGTTAGAAAGTGAAAGTCTAATGAGGTGATTATGCGCGCGCTATACAATTAAGGTAGTGATCAGTATGTACTTGCGGGGTATTAGCGTGTTTCTTGGTGCATTTGTTATATTCTAGAGTCTGTGGGGTTTATGTGCAGGCAATGCGCGTTATATGAACAAATGATATGAGAGATATCACCGGACGAAACCCGGGGTAACACTGAGAGTATGTACTTAATGGAATATTTTTGTGTTCTTCGTATTATCTGGTGTTTTTGTTTTTATGTTTTTGAGGGGTGCGCGTTCGCGCGAATATGATTGAGTGATGCGCGGGCGCGCGGAATATGGTCGCGCGCGCTAATCGTCTTGCGCACGCTCGGGCTCGTCTTCATCGGGTTCAATGGTTTCATACGCTTCTAGTTCGTCGATGCTCTCGTCGTCTACTCCAGTCATTTGGGTTACCGATACGTGCTCCTCGCTACGCGGGTAGTAAGGAATGACGCGAAATGCGGCGAACCGAAGTTTTGAGATCGCGCCGTCCAACTCGGCCAACATATATGAGCCTCCCTTCGTGCGACGCACTACGATCATAGGTCCCAAGTAGCGTGGCTTCGTCTTCTTGCTCAGCTCGTAATCGACTTTCGAGTTGCGTACCAATACTAAGGCGCCGGGTTCGAAGTCGTGCGATTTGATAGACGCGCGGAAGCGTCTCTCAAAATCGCGTATGGACTTGTAGCGCGCCGCGACTACTTTATCCCTAATCGCGTTAATATCTTCTACGCGCTTCTGCAATTGGCGCGCGCGCCATGCTATAAGATCAGTAGTGGTGAACGCGCCTCGGCTTGGTAAGGGCGCAAGGAACGTCGCTTCTGCAAGATCAAAGGGAAATATCGGCTCAATGCCATGCATCATGAAATAGGGCGATAAACCCGTCGCTTTATGAATGGTGACGCGCTCTGCCCAGAAAACTGAATGAACTACCTGATACCAGCGAGAATCATCTCCGTCGCAGCTTTTAATGATGGCCTCCCGGACATCGCGGTGTCGTCTTTCGACTATACCGTTTGCCTGAGAATTATATGGCAAGATGCGGATCGGGTGAATCCCGTATTTGCGCGCGAGTTCGTCTACTGCGAGCCTATATGCGGGCGCATTGTCCGTCACTATCTCTGTGATTGGGCCCCACCTACACAAGAGCTCCTCGAAAATAAAAGCGGTTAGTGCGTTAGTATTTTCTTTGCGCAGCATGCGCCATTCCGGATACGACGTTAGCGCGCATCGCACTTGCACGAGGTATTCATATCCGCCCGCCCTGGGCATCTTCATCGTGTCGATGTGCGCTTTGCAAAATAGACCTCCTGGTATGGGGACGATTGGAGGAATATGCAGCCTCCTCGTTTGGCGAACTTGGCATTCGTGACACGTTTGTCCGTACCATTTGATGTCTTCGATGATG